TTTCCAATAATATATTGAAATACTATAAATATATAACACGTAAAACTTACTTTCGTCTTTTCAAGCAATAGTTTGAGTGAAAAATAAAGACTCACTAACTGTGGATTTCAAAACAATAATAATCAGGCTTGCGCAAGCGCTTCATGAATAATAAAACAGTAATGAATATTTTCTTTTCCGCTACATACTTTGCACAATTTACCCATATTATTATGTATATTCCTTTTTTTTATTTCACGCGATCTCTTAAATATAAACTTAAAATTTACACTAGAAAATTATGAAAATGACGATAATCAATAATGAATACTGATGGAAAAATAGAGCTTCTTCACCACAAAAAATATAGTGAAATCCTTGAGGCCAAATGAACTTTGACGGTCAGCGTTATTATAAAGTTAATCGATTCTTTTTAAAAATGATGGGATTATGGCCTTACAACAATTCTACATAGACATATATTTACAGAGTATTTACAATTTTGGTCCTTGCCTCTTCTTGTATTACTCAGATAATTTTCTTCACAAATCAATTTAATATAAAATTAATACTATTTGTGTTTGTGTGTACATGTGTGCGCGGGCACTACATATGCAATAATTCATATATACATGCACTGATAATTATTATATTTAAATTATATTTTCTGTTTTAATGCTCATTGTTACATTTAGTTGGATTAATTTTTTTATTGTTCTATAAACTATTTCCATAAATATTATTAAAATTAATTTTAAAATTGATATTTATAAAGATAGAACTACAATAGTGATTTGATTTTTTTCTTTGAAAGATTATTAACAGTAAAGTTTTTTTTCTGCAGCTTGAGAAATTGCAAAGTACAGTCCATGATCTCGATCGTCTTCTATATAATCTAACATATGCTGTCCCTTTTCATATTTATCTCTTAAGATTTCTTAGCTATTATTAACATTGACAGAGTAAATATATGAAAAAATTTCAAATTATCCAATCTGCTTAATTATAAAAAGAGATCAAAATTAAAATATAATATCGTTTATTATTAATCATATATTGTCAGGTAAAAGAAATGATGGATAGAATACAGCATGATTGGAATACATTAAAGGATGAAAAAGAATACGAAATTGTACGGTATTATACCATAATCGGAATGCGATACACAATAGTTTTTTTTGGTAAAATGCCATAGATTATAAATATAAAAATAACGGAAACCGTTAATCTATTATTCCGAATCCTGATACATAATGATGTGATATTATTTCAGCTGCAAGTTTTCCACTTTTGCTTTGCTTTATTTTGGGCTTTTATTTGCCAGGCTTTCTCGATTTCGTTCATCCCTTAAATGAATTTCGTTCTAGAAGATTATCCATTTTAGCGGAATATTACATTCTCGATGAACAAAAACATTTTTATCCTATTTTGATGCACCAGTCATTATTAGCTCTACTAGGCGTGACTACAATACTTGCGACCGAAACTTTAAATCTGATATATGTTCATCATGCTTGCGGATTATTCGAAGTAATTAGGTGAGACATATGATTGCAAACTTTTAAAAATGACAATACAAATATTTCCGAATATACAAATGTACAAAATATTATATATTATATAAATTGATTTTATAGATCGTATTTAATCACATAATTAGTTATTTAACAATAATTACTATTATTGCAAAGCACATGCTATGACATAAGTTATAAAAAAGAAAAACATGAAAATCTTTTATATTTAAAAATATATATTATAATATATTATAATATAATTGTATGCAATTGAATCAATTTTGATCACTATCTTACTTATACATAAATAAATCCATATTTTTAGTTATCACTTAAACATGCTTTTGATGACGAAATGTTTTCGATAGCTAATGAAAGATATACCATAATTCACGCCAAAATTGTACAAGCTATAAGTATATCCACACAAGAACTATCGGGTGAGTATACCAATCATGAAACGCAAGATCTTAATTTTTTTATGGGAAAATTTTTTGCACTTATTTTCAGTGCAAAAAGGATATTAGGAGAGGATAAATATATTACTCTCACTATTCATAACTAATACATATAATACATAACTAATACATATAATTTTTCATTATTGAAGATCTTTAGATTATCTAGTATCCACATTTATCTTGACCTATTTATGTTCCTACCTCCCTTGGAGTAATCGCAATAACTATTAATATGTTCCGTGTGAGTTATTTTTTCAATAAACAGTCTTATTCTACATGTTATGTTTCATTTGTTTTCTTTATCTACAAAATATTGTTTTACTAATTGTAAAAAGTTATATTTGCTTAACTTTAAAATATATAAATATCAATATCTTTTAGCTAATTGAAGCTATCTTGGCGATGAATGATTTTGAAGAATTATTGGCAGCTTTGGAGTCTTTATTGGAGGCCAATATGGTTTCTTATTTTTTGCCAATTATTTTGGACAGAAAGTAACGGATCATAGTATTCTTGTGTTTGATAAGGCGTAAGTTTTTAGATTAAATTCATGTCACATTATTTGCATATTATACATATTGTTTTATATTTAATAAGAATTTTAATAAAAGGGGAAAAAATAGGAAATTCTCATATGTAATGTCATAATTATATAGATACGATGTAGCTTGGTACGCAGCGCCTGTACGCATTCAGAAACTTCTCATATTTATATTGCAAAGAGCAATAAAGAGTTACGTGTTAGGTATTGGTGACGTAATTATGGCATCGTTGGAAGGTTTTGCATAGGTAATAGTATATTTCTACGAATTCAAATGCCTAATTAAGAAACATTAATGAATATAATGCAATTAATAGTTTTAATGAGAATAATATAACTATACAAAAATGGGATAAATAGATAAAAGTGGTTTCGAAATCATTTAAAGTCATATACAATTTTAATATTATCCATAATCATTTCTTTTAGGTGGTGAGCATGATGCTATCTTATCTCACTGTAATATATTCCGTACGTTAACATCAAAATAGACAGCAAATCTGATTTTAATGATTAGTATAATAAAAAAACTATATTATTAGTATTTATGAAACACTTTATTAATGTAGAATAAAATAGGTTTATCACGAATCTTAATAAGCAAGATTTCAGAACAGTATTATATTTTATTATATATTTTTACCCTTCTGTATAAACTCTATACTCTTCTATATATACTCCAATTGTGTACGCTAAAGGTATTCCCCATCCCTTTTTTATAATATAATACACTTATATATAGCATCTATGTCAAAATATCTTCTCATTCATACACTTTTAGCTAATAATTATTTTAGCTAATAATGATTATTTTAAGAGGACAGAAGGAAAATTGAAATATATATAATTAAATAAGTGAAAAAAAAGCCATTATATATAGTTACTAAATAATGGAATAGTTTTTATCATTGATTTACTGGAAATTCTATTATCACAATCTATTATCACAAAATTCGATCTTTTCATTTTTTATTATTCTTTGGATTTAAGATAACAAAATAATAAAATGCTTTTCATAGCATTGATTTTTTATATTATTATTTATATTCAAATAAAATTACATTTTAAAAGTAAAACATATAACTATATTTTTTCTATAATATTTATTAAAATTGGAACGAATCACATATATTTTATAAATAAAATATCTATATAAATGCTCATTGTAATATTATGTTAACATAATTACCATTATTATAAAAATCTCTCTTTTATAAAAATATTCTTATTTGTTTCTTTGCTTTTAACAAAATAATTCTAATAAATATAAAATATTTTTCTAAGATATTTTATACATAATACATAATTTATAAATTTCTAGAAATTTTTACAAAATTATTCACGAATATAATATTAGTAATATATTATATTTTTATTATATTTTTAACATATAAAAATTTTAGAAAGTTTTGAGATTTTTATATCAATTTTATATATTACAATAAATAAGTATTGGTTGCAAAGGTATCAACTTTGACATCTCAACAATTATGTTAAAGATCCTCAAAGAGATAAGAAAAAGTAATTTTATTCATAGAAAAGTTTGGATATAGAGAAGAATTCTTATTTAAATGCTGCATATTACTTGCATGTTTACCTTAATATATAGCTCTTCTTCTACTTGTTTATATTAAAGATCAGTTAAATCGCCAAATTTCTAAAATACACTCTGTTAATGTATGTGCACAAATTATGAAAAAATTTATTAAAAATCACATCAGAGTTCACTAACACATTTCACTGCATTTCACGGATGGGCAGAAATTTATCCGTTCACAAAAGACGATAAATGAAGAAATATACACGCGCGAAGCTCTTCGCATGACGGCTCATGCTGCATTGAGGGAAATATCACATATGAAGAATATTGCTCCCTATTGCGCCCGCGCTGTGTCGCGAGGCCTGGTGTCGACTCTGCGCAATATCCCACTAGTGACCCGCTGGAATATTATAGCCGACTTTTACGCAGCATGCAATATTTTTATTAGCTTCCCGCGCAAAAATTTTGTCATTATATATTGCAACATGTGATGTTAAAAACATTCAATGATATTTTCTCATTTAAAACCCATGATGTTGATTTTTATTCAATGTATTTATTTAACAAATGTTAAAAAGAACAAAAAAAGTCGCTGTACTATCATGGAATAGAATTAGAACAGATTTAAATGTTTTTGACATTTACAATTATATATTCACTTGCTTCAACTACATATGTCAAATATTAAAACATATATATCAATATTGTGTTTTGAATATAAATTATATCGCGAATGCTTACTAAAAAGTCAAAATAAAGATAAGCAAAATAGAAATGATAAATTATGTATTTGAATACAATAATAAAGTCTTAAATTTTAATAGTCTAAATTAATAAATTTTATCCGCATAATCATCCAACAAATAAATACCTAAAGAAAAAGATATCGTCGAACATAAGTTTTATAACTACCGGTATTTAATATCATTATTTAAAAATAAAAAATAATTACATCGATAGACTAAAGAATAAAAATTTTAATTCAGTTTAGGAAATGTTTTTATCATATTTTACAATTTTACATAGCTAGCGCAGCAATACCATTAAATAAGAGAAGCTAAAATATCGATGACACGAGATGA